AGTTTCGGTTTGCACAAAACCGTCTTGGATCAGACTAAGCTGTCACGGTAGATAAATTTGGAAGCTGTAGCTTAGGACAACCCTAGAATTTGTATGCAATTCACGAAGTTGCCTCTTCCAGAGTGGCAGGCGCCTTGTAGACCTTATTTAGCGGTCCCAGTATAGTCACTACGAGAGGTGGCACCTCTGTTGCATTTACATACACCGAGCCACGCGGATCACATTAAATTTCGCAATATTTTCACATTTTATCAACTTGTATTTGAGATAATCGATTGTTCGGTTCGGGAGAAAGTTTTCAGTCATTTCTACCTTCCTCGCCAGCGTAATTTTTTGTTTCTTTAGGGTTTCTTGAGTTTAAGTATACTTGGAGGCTGACTTTGTCGATTAATCCAGTATTTTTTACCATATAACGGTTTGGACACTTGCAGTAGACTAAGAAAAAAAGGCGGTCGGCTAAAAACATCATTTCCAGAATCCTCATAATGACAGAGTAAATTTCAACTGGCTAGTATGAACAGCGGTAAATGGAAGTTACGGTATCAAAGGAGCTCCTGTTTTTACACAAGAAACCATAACAAAAAAGTGAATTTGAACATACTGCATCCAGTTCACTCATCCTACTGATACGCAAGTCGTCTTCGTTAGAGCCAGGCCTGTCGCTGAAGAGCCCGCCAGCGAGCGAACCGCGGGGTCCAGTCCTTTGTCGCCCAGGCCTGCCGCGACGTACACCTCGAGGGACTCTGGGGGTGGGCCTGTCCGCTGGAATTAAAGAGTCACCAATACCACTGCTGGTGCCTAAAACCGCTCCCGGAAAAGGCAGCATAGTTTCGGATTTCGGTTGACTAGACTCGTCGGAAATACTGCGGAGGCGGCCACCGTCCCAAACGAGTGTTCCGTGTGAAGTAGCCCTTCTCGCAGCATAACCGCGTCGGTAGATTGGAATGGAACCCCTAGGAACGTTCGAAATTGGTTTTGCATCATCGGCGTCAGGTTCTGAGCTCTAAAAACAATAGCGGGAAAACATTGCTAAATAACAAAAATGTCTAAGATACTTAATAAATAATTCTACCTGTAACAGTATTCACAATAACTGATTCGGTTAACATCATTGTCCAGGTTGACAGTAACACAAAAAATCTACCAACGTTGGAAGCGACCGACAAAAGACCCTTGATTAGGAAAGATCGAGTAAATGACAGGTCATACAACTCACACACACGACAGTTCAACCATCGATTAAGAAAACTTCCAGGGTGGTGCAGGGACGGTGACTTGCGCGGCACCTACCGCACTCTCTTCCCTCACCCATCAGTGTCAATTGTCAAGAAATGGTCAAGAAGAAAGGAGCGGGTTCGGACGCAGGTGGTTCTCACGGTGTGTCCATATGCCTCCGCTTCTACGTTCGGCATTTTTTATTGGAGCGCAACCCGAATAGCGCCCGCCATAACCTGATCTGGCCCTCGTGTTGGTCCAGCGCCTCTACCACGCGGC